CCAAAATCTCTGTAGATGTTCATTGAAATGAAAAATAAACACCCTAAATAAAAAAAAAACCCACAAAAAAAAAATCAACTGTCTGGACCAACAAATTGTTCTATGGGGAAAAAAGATGAAGTAGCTGCTCCCATAAAGATTTAAAGTATTGAAAGTACTATGGGGCAGTTCTTCTTTGTCCTGTAGGGTTGCTATGAGTCCTATCCAACTTGATAGAAATGGGTTTGATATTAATATTTTCACTGATCCTGGTAGACTCAGATCAAGTCGTTTCCTCTAAGAGGTCTTCCTTACCCCATTCTTACTCCTGTCTGGTCTCTGTCTTGCTTACTAGTTGCCGTGTTTTTACGCTCACTTCTCTAATAGCATGTATCATAATTATTATAAATAACAGCTTTTTTAGTTCTGTGAGATCTTAAATATTGAATACAGACTGAGAGAAAATAGTTGTTGTCTTGCCTGTGAACTTAAGAGCTGGACCCTGTGTTGCTTTTGTATCTCCTATGTTGGGTTCAATGCCTGACACATAGTAATGACTGGAATGAATGCATTTACCAAGTGAACAAATAAGAGGAGCTACTTTTGTTGCATTTATGTGTTTGTATCTTGTGTGTTTATAGAGACCACTGGTTTGAGTATTACATGAGTCTCAAAGCTCAGCATTTCTGTTAGCCTGCTTTTTATGCGTACATGCCCTGCCAGCCTTCCTTTGGTGTAATGGCAAGACATTTCTGCTCCTCTCTTGCAGGTTTTATGACAAGGTGCTTTCTTTGCATGAAGACTCAGCAACCCCTGTGGCTAATCCTCTGCTTGCATTTACTCTCATAAAACGCCTGCAGTCAGACTGGAGGAATGTGGTACATAGTCTGGAGGCCAGTGAGAACATCCAAGGTAATGAGAAGCACTGGAGTGTAAGAGGGAAGATTGTATCTCCTGATGCAGCCAGTGGAATGGAGAGAGAGGCTGATGAAATGTGGCAGAGAGTAATGATGTGGCTAGCATTACTGATTTCCTTAGCTTAGCCAGTAGAAAGAACTAGGTCCCCTTGTTGTATACATATGCTTTTACATTAGAAAATACTTGCAAACCTAGTATTTCATCAGATCTTCACTACAACCTTATGAAGGATAAGATATACTATTTCCTTTTTTATGTGTAAATAAAGTAATGGTCTTCAAGTAATTTCTGTTTCATTAAATTACCTCTATGGTGTGATCTGGAGACATAAATTTCCTTTTTTGTTATTGTTGTTGTACTTTGTATTAACAAGTTTGTTGATTTTGGGGAAATTAAAAGGCAGGGTTATTTCCCCAAAGGCCAACGTTTCCACAGACAGATAAGATGGCACAGCATAAAGTATGTACCATATCATTTACTCCAGATCACTGTTCCTCATACAGAAAATTGTCCTAAACATTCATTCTGTGCCAGGAAATGTGTTTGCCACTGGGAACCCAAAGATAAATAAAATACTGGCTTTGCTCACAAATATCTCAATATGTGATCTTGCTTTGCGTGTATAAATGCTCGCTACCAGTTTTTTGAATGGTAAATGGCTGCTTATTTTGGCCTGTACAGCTCTAAAGGATGGCTATGAGAAAGTGGAGCAAGACCTTCCAGCCTTCGAGGACCTTGAAGGAGCAGCCAGGGCCTTGATGCGATTGCAGGACGTGTACATGCTCAGTGTGAAGGGGCTGGCCCAAGGCGTCTTCCAGAGAGTCACAGGCTCTGCTGTCACTGACCTCTACAGTCCCAGACGGCTTTTCTCCCTCACAGCTGATGACTGTTTCCAAGTTGGCAAGGTAACAAAATTCAGAAAGAGCGAATTGCTTGGTGTGAGTTTCTTACAGATACATTAACTATGCCCCAATGGCCTTTACATATTTCTAATTTTTGCAGTATTGGTGACTCATCTTCCTGTGGGAGATGAACCTTCCTGTCAGTGAAGGCTTGTATGTTGTCAAGACACTTGTTATTATGTGCAGTTGAGTCAATTATGACTCATAGTGACCCTATGAACAATGGTTCTGAACCTTCTAGGTCCTGAGCCAACCTTACCGTCTCTGACACATCTGCTCCCATTGCCACAGTCAAGAGGTCAGTCCATCTCATCCAGGGTCTTTCTCTCCTGCACTGATCCTCTTTACTTCTAAGCATGATATCCTTCTCCAAGAACTGGTCCCTCTTTATGATGTGCTCAAAGTATGTGAGTCAGAGCTTCAAAGTCTGCCTCCAAGGAGCAGCCTGCTTTCACCCTCTCAGGACAAACTTTTTTGTTCTTTTGGCAGTCCATGGTATGTTCAGTACTGTTCTCTAGCACCACAACTCAAAGACATCAATTCTTCTTCTGTCATTCTTATTCATTGTCCAGCTCTCAGATGCAGAGCAAGTGATTGAGAAGACCATGGCCTCTGTCTCTAAGCTGATAGACATCATGATGCTTAGTGGGTTTCAACAGAGCTTCTAGACTAAGACAGATAAGGAAGAAAGACCTGGTGAACTACTTCCAAAAGCCAGTCTAGTATCCTCAACTGATCATGGAAATGGCACAGGACTGGACAGAATTGTGCGTACTAACACTAACCACAAATCCTTATAATTTTCTATTACTTTCTATTTTTAGATGAAGAAACAGATTCTGAGAGAATAAATAACTTGCCTGTTGCTAGCCACTGTTGAGTTGGCACCCAGGCAATTCCATGTGCAATTGAATGTGATCACTGTAGTCTGTAGGGTTTTCACTCCCTCCTTTCACTCACTCACTGCTGTTGAGTCAGAACCGACTCGTAGCTGATGCCTCTCTGGGTTTCCAAGGCTGTAAATCGCATGGGAGGAGACAGCCTCTCTTTCTCCTGGTAGATTTCAACTTGAACGAAAGAGATTCCAGTTCCCAATGCAACTTCTTATAGACTATGTTGCCAAAGCTCCCTGAAGGGTTTCCAGTGACTGATTTTCAGAAGTACATCACCAAGCCTTTCCTTCTATTCTCTCTTAGGCTGGGAAGCCCTGCTGAAACTCATTAAGCATCCTTTGCAACACACAAGCTTCCAGTACAGACTTCAAGCTGTGCTTGAAGAACACTGGTTAGGAATTGAACAGGGAATCTTCACCTGCCTCTGAAAGCTTACTGTAGGGTCATCTCTAAGTTGGTTTGGACTCAGTGACACACAACAGTACAATATTCCATGTGGAAAGTGATAATTCTACCATTGAATCAACACTGCATCTAGTAACTTGCATAAGGTTTTTTAACTTTAAGTAGCAAAGGAATTATTTCTTAAACCCAGACCTCTAATTTTCACATTCTTCCCATATTAGCTAAGGTGACCATATACATAGAAAACTCCTGAGAGCAAAATAGGTATTAATAATGATACTAGAACAACAGACATATGTTGGGACTACTTGGGCACACTGGGCATTCATTGTGCCCCCTAACTGTTAAAAACGGTGGAGGAAATGAATGAGGTGGTGATTTGAAAGTAAGATTATGGAAATTCTCAGACTTCTGAGGTTTCCTGGAATCCTCTGCAGTATTTCCTCCGCATTGAGAAATACTAAATTAAAGCCATCTCAGAAACCCAAAGCCATTCACATTAGCATTACCTGAGGAAATATACTTCAGGAACCTTCCACATGAAGTATTGAACTAATCTTTGATCAAAAGATAATGCCCACACTCGAGGTCATGTTATGATGGAATCTTTGCCAGCCTTTACCTCAAGAAGTAATGGAGTAAGCCTTGCTGATTTTGAAAATATATGTTGCAAGAAAATGAATTTTTCTGGACTCTACAGTTTTCATTGGCAGCATCATGATGGATAATGAAGAGATTGAGATTGTTAACAACTTTACTTTGCTTGGCTCTACAATCAACACTCTTGGTGCCAGCAGCCAGGAAATTAAAAGACAAATTGCACTGGGAAAGTCTGCTGTCAGAGACTGCTCCAAAACACTGAAGAGCAACAATGTCTGAGGATTAAGGTGCGCCTGATCCAGGCCATGGTCTTTGCAATTACTTGCTAAGCATCAGAGAGCTGGACAATCACTAGGGATTATGCCTTTGAGCTGTGGTGTTGGAGAATAGTATTGAATATACCATGGACTACTAGGAGAACAAACAAGTTCATCCCAGAGATGGTGAAACCAGGCTGCTGTATTCTAAAGCTTCATTTAACATACTTTGGGCATGTTGCAAAAAGAGACCAGTCCTTGAAGAGCAACATCGTGCTTGGGAGGGTGGAGGGACAGCACAAGAGAGGAAGACTCAGTGACTGGGGTAATGGAAGTAGGTATATCAGAGACAATAGATTGGCACAGCATAGAGCAGGGTTTAGGGCTGTTGTACATAGGGTCACTATGAGTTGTAGGCGACTGAACAGCACTTAACAACAACAAGAGTTTTCATACAAAGATCTGAGAGCTCCATGAGACCAGCTTTAGGGATTGGTTTTCAAATCACACAGGGTGGATTTTCTTAAGCCTTTCTGTTTATTTTTTCTTTTCTGAGATTCTGAGCAGACTGAGAGCTCACTCATCAACTTCATGGCTAATTTGCATTTATACTAGTAAACATAGTTCCATGTATCCTTCATTAGTGTAGCCTTTCTTAAACAAAAGCCTTATGTTGAAAAGGGAGGAAATCACTTCCTGAAAGTCTCACTGGCAATTTTTAGTTCATTTATTGATTGATTTTTGAAAGAGAAGATTTCAAGAAAAATACCTAATATAATATGTTTTTGTAATGTACCATCAAGTCAGAACTGACTCATAGCTGACCCTCCATTGGGTTTTCAGAGGTAGTACAGCATACAGGAGGAGATGCTCATCTTTTCCCCACAGAGCAACTGGTAGATTTGAACCTCCTGCCTTTGGCTTGGCAGTACAACTCCTTACCACAAAAGCCACAATAGCTTCCTAACAAAGCAAGCAATTATGCCAACAATTAAGATTAAATATGTATTCAAGTTTGATTGTATTTCAGATTTTTCCCAAAGGTGTTATGTAGAACTAAAGTCCTACTCCTATTCCTTCTTGTTACTGCCCCTTCCCTCTCTCCTCCGTCCTCCCCTAGGTAACTGTCATCCTGAAGCTGGTGTGCATCAGTCCTGTGCATGCTTTTTCCACATGTGAGTATTTCTCTATACATGCATATTTAGAAATACTTTCCAAACTTTATGTACATGTAGAAATATGGCATAAATAAAATAATATTGTAAATCCTCTTTTGCAACTTGCTTTATTAGCCTAATAATACATTTTTAGATTTATTTGGCTTCATTAATTTTTTATATAAAATTTTTCTTTTATACTGATTTACTTACAAAGTTTATATACATTATTTTTCCTTGATTCATTAATTTTTATTATTCTTTTGTACTCCATTGGATGGATGTACAACACTTTTATTATAAATTGTCATCTGTCAGTTTGCTCTACTGAGGTAATCTGAGTTTGCTATGATGCTAAACCCTGTGCCATGGGGGTGTCAAATGTCTTAACGGTTGCCTATGGTGGACAGCGTCTTGTAGAACTCCTAGTTTAAGACAGGTTCGGAAGCAGGCATCCATTTCCTAAACCACATGCCTCTAGAAACTCTATAAACGTGGAGAAATGATGATAGTTATAGAAAGGCTTTTGGTCTTTTGTTCATAGGGTTGCTATGAGTCGTGTTCAACTCAACAGCAATCTACAACAACATATTATAGGTAATGTTAATATTACAAAGTATTTCAGTTAGCATTCTTTAAATGTCTCCTGTGCATACATGAAAAAGTTAGTTTGGAGGAAATGTGCGTCTTCAGCTTTATTGTTTTTTACTCAGTTACTTTTTAAAGTGATTGTAGCTTTTTAGATTTCTGTCAGTTTTATATGAGTATTTTTGGCTTATTTCTGTACACACATATTTACACTGGGTACATAAATATTAGTTTTTGTCAACTGGATAGACATAAACTTATATACCATTTTAATTTCCATTTTTCTAATTTCTTGGTTGAACATTTTTTCCCATATTGTTATCTATAATCTGAAATTCTTTCTCTTTGATTGCTTGTTTATAGCAACTATTGAGTTGCTTGTCTTTCTTACTGATTTGTGAAAATGTTTTATGTATTTTGAATACAATCCTAGTCAACTATATCAATCTTTTTAATTATTATAATTTTTTAAAAAGATACTGTGAACAAAATTAACATAGCCATTCACAATCCATATAATGTACACCATTGTTCATAGCAGCATTATTCACAATCTCAAGAACATAGGAACAGCCCAGATGTCTAACTACAACTGAATGGACTGCGAAATTATAGTATATTCACACGATGGAATACTATGCAGCACACAGGAACAATGGTTTTGAAAATCACTACCTAACTTGGGAGGGACTGGAGAGCATCATGCTAAGTGAACTAACGCAGTCCCATAAGGATGAATACAGTATAAGACCATTATTGCAGAAATAGAAAGATAACTAGTAAAACGTGTGTGAGGATCCAAGGGGGGGAGGGTAGGAGCAAAGTGGTGAGGATGGCAGGGGGTGGGTAATCCTAGGGTCATACAATTTGATGGGTGGAGTGAGAGGTGGGTAAAGGAAATGAGAAAGAAGATCCAATGTGAAAAACAATGTATATGAACTTTTTAAGTAAACCAGTATAAAATAAAAATTTTATTTAAAAAAATATGGTAATATGATAAAAGTATATATGACACATTTGCAATTTCAACATTCATTACATGTATGATTTAATCATGTTGATTACATCAGTCACTTTGTGCAGGTATCACCTATATTCAGTGG